ATCCACCAAAATAAAGCTTTCAGTTATACCTATCATTCAACTGTTCACATAACTCAAGCATCTGGAGAATGAAATGAGTATTCATGCTCTTCCAAGGGAATACATACTGGTCAAGTCACCTAATGCAGCATCTATGGATTTCTGTGTGATCAGACTGTTGAAACAAGTACTGAAAAACCATCGTTTTCATACACTACATTGATTATGGAAAGCAAGCAGAGAAGAGTGGTATGCTTTGAACAAGACAGTCGTACAATGAAGCAATAGAAACTACTCTGCAGGGTTATTGCCATTTCTAACATAGATCCACAACTGTTACAACAATGCACAAGTGTTCAAGTTTGTAGACAAGTTAACTGGCCTTTGAATTATTTTCACCAGATATTTTAAAGCAACCCACCAACAAAATAACAACGACATAACAATATTGCTGTAATGTTGTTCTTTTGTTGGACTAGTTCTTCTAAACTACTTGGTGAAAATAAGCCCAAGTACAGTCCACGTAACAATAACAAATTCGTATATTTCTTCCTTAACGCTCCCACAAGTTGCCTTCACTGTACACTGTAGTAACTTGTAGGCCTAAGTTTACAACTGTTCAAATGGAAATACCACGTTAATAGTATTATGAGTAACGTAAAAATACACTTACCTGTATTATTTCACGGCTAATCAAGTAATTGAATATACATGATGACTGACACTGATTTAAATACGCCTCTGAAACTAACTACTTCACTGAATGATTATCATTCGTATCATTGTTTCAATACACTTCACAAAGAGTCTACACTGAGCTGAGTGGTCACAAGTAAATAGACATGTAAGCTCTCAGTAAGCTCTCCTATCATGAAGTCTTTTTGGTTGGTTTCTTTATCAAGGTCTATGTTACATAGATGGGATGATCTCTTGTTGTCACTGGCTGTCCTGTCACCACCTAAGTTTACAAATGACGTTTACACGGAAATACCTCGCTAATGGTATTATAACTACTGTATAAATCACGGCTAATCGATCAAGTAAATTAATATTATAACCGATTACTAACACTGATCCAAATACTTCTCTGAATGACTGATACTCTACCAACTGAAAATTGACTAATTACTTAATACTATTTACTGTTCACTACTCCTGAACAAACTACCTATTCGTATTTATATCTGTATCTTTATTTCTAGACACTCCACAAAGACTCTCGAACACTAATACTTCTTAATATTCTAGGAATTACTTGATCTTAACGTGATGCGTCCTCCAGCTAACATCTAATTTAGAACGTTGAAAATATAGCTTACAACAATATAATTCCTGTCAGTCCACTAAAAAAAGAAGTATGATACATAAGTTTATCATATCCGAGTAGAGCATTAAATCCGTTTAATGTAATGTTTTGACCACTATACTTCGTTTATCATCATGCTTAAGCTACATTATCCTATAATGCGTTATTTTAGCAGTGTATGGATTTCACATTTGTTCGTTTGTCTCTTTTTAAGCACAAAACAGCACAATGAGTTATCTGTGCTCAGCCCACCGCAGCTATCGAAGCTCGATTATTAGCGTTATAAGCCATCAGACTTACCACTGAGCCACTAGGGTGCGATTTAATATCTGGACGAAACAAACATATAGATAATGGTGTGTTAAAATCCATAACACCCCTCATGTAAAACTAGTCCTCCAATGGGTCAGCGGTCAGTTTGCGGACTTACAATGCTAAAGTCCGGGGTTCGATTCTCCGCTGTAGACAGAGTGCAGATAGCCCATTGTATAGCTTTACACTAAGAAAACAATGTGTAAAACTCTTCTTATCGTTTTCAGCCAGTTATGGCTGATTTAGATTCAACGGAATTATTAAAATAAAAATAAAAGAGATTACTATAATCCGGGGATGTTTAGTAAATGTATTTTAGAACTTGGGTCATTTAAGAACAAAAATGTATATGACATCAAAGTTGACCTTGCAATTATTTGTTGACGATATAAAACGCTACTCAAAATAAAGCTTGTTTGTGCTGCCATCTAACCTAAAAGTGAAATAGTACAATATATTTAAAGTGCAGGTAAGACAAAACACTATTGCTATTAGTATCAATATTATTTGAATTTTGACGTTTTTATTATTCTCTAGTTTAATTACAAGAAACATTTGAATGTAAGCTAAGATACTCCATCCATAATTATGAGTACGTAAGATAACACATGAAACAAGTTTGTTTTATTTCGAGATTTCCGAAAACAACAGATATCATTATCACTATCAGAATACTGAATAGAAAAGCAAAACTTGGCTAAGCCTTACGTTTTTATTTTAGCTAATCCTACCTCGATGTTTACATTTTAGACTTAGATCCAAATTTAGAAGTTAGAGACCAATACCCTCACGTTTTAAGCAGAGTTATTTCTTTTGTTGTAATTGTCAATTGATGTGACAAACTAATACTAATAGTATTACTATCTGTAACAGTAACACGTACTAAACTGGTATATCATTATTAAGTATATTAATTATTATATGCATTAGTATTACAGTTATTTCATTATTTGTTTGAATGAGTGGTTCATTTTTGTTGTTTGATTATCTGAACACCATCACTATCAATGGATGGGCAAAACTTGTTTACTGAATGAGTATTGTCACTGTATAATGGGGAGTAAAGTGTCACCTTGCTGGTTCATATATAATGCAGGTAATAAAATGTTTTCTAAATCAGGATTTTTCAAATTGGTTCTTAAGTGTGTAAACACTTGTGGTCCTGGAATTTCTGGATACTTAAAGCCTTTTATTAAATTTATTATAGCAAAATAATGCATAAAATATACTGTATTTATTTATTTCAAGATTATCACAGCTGAATGAGGTACTCATTTTTTATGAATGGTCTGAAGTAAGAATATTACATGAAGTCCTTCTCATGTAGTTTCATGCCGTATTTGTTAAAATTAGACTGGTTATATGCAAGACATAATATTTTGTGATACACAACAAAATTTTTCTATAAACTAAGAAATTTGACTCAGATTGGAACAATGGTTTGAGTTGTTTGTTTAACCAATCATTGTTGCTATCATGTAAAAAACCATGTATGTTAAAAATCTCAATTTTACACATTTTTTTAAACTACCAGAAATTGGTCACGTTTTCAAAACACAAGGTTGGGATCATGTGATAAGTGTACCATTTCTAATTGGAAGATGTGCACATGGTTTTGGCAGAATGTGGTGTGGCATATTCTGGGAACATTTCCATGTAAAACACAAATCAAGAAAAAGTGGGCTTCATGGTTTTGGCATGACAGTGATTATGTAGTCTTGGAAACTTACATGTATTGACAAAGTTAGTAAAACAAAAAAATTTGATCTTTTAAAATATACAGAATGTTTTTTAACTTTTAAACTTACACATACACACATTAAACTCTGGTAGCCAGTTCAAAAAACAAATTACCAGAGTCTCTAAAATGTCATCTTTATAAGTGCTTAGTGTTAAATATAAATACTTCTTTAAACCAAGCTATTTTGTGATGATTTCTGAAAGTAGGCATCTTTATCATTAATAATCTACACCAAGCTATTTAAGTTATATGCAAGTTATTCCGATTCTTTGGAAACTTTCTTCTTTTATTTAGTCAATGTTTATGGTACATATTCCTTCGTTTACCAGGTTTTCAAGTAAAAGTTTGTATTTCCAGCTTTAAAATTTAAAAGAAAAATGAAGTAAGATTATTTTTAACTTGTGATCTTATTAAATAGAATCTCATTTCCAGCCATTAATTTGATTACCCCAAAAAATTTTAACCGAATGCCTCTCCTGTGCATCACATGTGATTCACAGTATACAATGCTAAAGCACCTGAATATCGTATGCGATACACAACTACATTTATTTGATATGCAGCTGTTGCTCGTGAACGTGGCAGTAGGATCTGGTTTGTTTGATTAAATGTATGGGATTTGAAAAGATCTTTATATGTGATGATCAAAGTGCATGTGAATGATGATAGGTTATTTTCACACAAGAGAAAATGTAAACCTAGGATAAATAAAACAGTTTTATTAATTCGTTATATTTTTATTACACAAATTTTCCAACAAATGAATAATGGGTGCTACTATAGCGTGCGGTCTACACAGATATCATCGTCACCGTTTTAATGATTCACTAAAACATAATTTATATCTATCCACGTTTTTCTTCATCAAATAATAATAATTTAATAAGTTGTGTGTTCCAAAAGAGTACCTTTAATTTAGGTTATAATTGTGCTAGTTTTGATTGTTGGAATTTATTTCATTCCGATTATATTTGCCCACAAAATGTTATGTAATGGTATTTTGTACTTTATCAGTTTCAAAAATGTTATTTATAATAAATGGCACCAATTACAAATAAACTAAAGTTAAAACGGTGATAGGGATAGTATCTACGTAAACCGCTTGCTATATTAGCACTGAATAATGTGTATAAGAAGAAATAATGCTTTATAGAATATTCACAATACAAAAAAATGACCTAAAACAGAGAAAGGGTTAAAGGTCATTTCATGAAGAAAAGCTGGAAACAAATGTGATATATGTTTCAACATGTTTATGTGCATGGTATACTAAGCTATAATTATCAATACATGTAAATCGTATAAAAAAAACTTAATTGAGTCATACAAGATGTAGATCTCTAAGCCTAACTTTTTTTCTGTCCCAATAATTTCAAAATATAGTTTGAAAATGATGTTGTATCTTGATAGTTAAAGAAGTTGTCTTATGCTTGTAGCTAAAACCTTTCCTCCTGATAACAAGGGACAAGACCTTAAAGGCTGTACTTGTACACCCATCCTTGAGAAAAGTAAAAAAATTAAACCATCCATGTATTTGAGAGTTGTTTTGATGACGGTGGAGACATTAGGCATGATAGAAAAAGGTTTATATGAGGTATGATCGGGCATAGAAGATATTACAGAATCTGTAATATCTGACAAGGGCTTTTTGAAGTAGCTTATTATATTATTGAATAACATAACTAACAGTAATTTTATCATTTTCTGTATCTTTTAGTATTTGATTTACAGATGCACCACAAAGAATACCCCATTTGGTAGTATATGCTGTTACGTGAAACTATCATGGGGTCTGTTTTAATGAAATTTAAGGTGAGTTGTACTTTTCTTGATGTTTTTTTGCACACTGGAATGTGTAAAATTTGTAAAAAGGTTATATTCCTCTCAGTTTCTTAATACAGGTTTATAAAATCTTTCAGAGATAAAATTACATTGAAAGTAATGATTTTTAAACTGTTAAACAGAATTTAGCTGTATATATGTTTAGTTTTTAAAAACTTAGAGTTTTAAAGTGGTTTTAATGCACGTGGGGGTCAATAGGCATAATGGGATGAAAGTGTAGTTCAAATATGATTGGAGATTGCAGAACGTCTGTAACAGTATCTGTCTATAGTTTTGAAAAGTTTTAACAATTGTATGAGCTAAACGAGTGCAGAGTATTTAAAGTCCACACGGTGATAAACGTCTGAAGTCTGGTTGGAGATATTTCAGTAAAACAAGTATTGGAGATGAATAAGTACATATTTTGTTATACTTTCCGTTAAAATCATGACTGAACACAGCTAAAACATTGTATCTATTCTATATCCAAACAACTAAGGAAAGAGTCTATGAATAGGAATAGATAAACCTTATTAAATAACTGAAATACATTATTTTTCAGTCAACATACTAAGCATCAGATTGTTTTGTATCCATATGTATATATCATTGATAATTAAAATAATGTTTGTTTTGCAACTGTTCATGAGGCGAGTGTTTTTACAATTCCACTTGATTCCATTACGAGTATTCACTCAGCATAGTTATTCAGCTCTCAGTAACTATTTATGTAAATCAAGTACATTTAAATAAATTTCAGATATTTTTTGCATAGATATGAAAGATATAATACCTGATGTTGATTAACAATCACTCACTTATAAGTAAAATGCTTTTCGTGTTTTCTTAAAATTTCAGGGGCTTTAAAAGCTATATTGTTGTTTTCTTTTTTGTTTATAGAAAAAACCTTCAACCAAACAAGTTCTTGAAGAACTAGAAAAGGTGAGTTACTGTAGCTTTTTTTAGATGTCTTGCCTCCTTTAGTATTTGTTTTCTGTTGAATTGCAGTTATACTGAAAGAAATATCACATTGCATGTTGTTCATGTTGAGAAAATTAACAATGTAGTGTACCATAATGTAACATCAAAGCTATACATATGATACTAGGATGTTTTTTTATTTTATTTTTAATTTCAAAATGTTTCTAAAACATTCAAGATTGCTTTACAGTGGTCAGTTTCTAAGCATACAGTGTAATTTTACTGAATTACTTATTACATCTGAATGAATTTGCCTTGTACAAAGCTTGTCGTGTATTAGTGTAATACAGTTTTAACGTAAACATATTATGGTATTATGATAGTTGTGGTCTCCAATGTAAACTTCATGTCCTACAATGTTTGGCAAGAAATATTGCACGTGGACTACCTTAAACTATAGTTATCATCTTGATGGAAATCAACTCCAATCAGTATACGTGCAGTTAATCAATAATTCTGAAATAAAAGGAATACAAAGATTACAGTGTTTCTCCAAACAAAGTGACACATGTGTTTGAGTTTCTCCCACAAACAAACATTGAAATGAAGGGGGGACATTTGAAATGTCGAAAGTAGAATCCTTATAAATTTGGTATTGTTTCATTATTGTGGATTTGAACTTTACTGAATACAATACTTTAAATGAACTGTAACAAACATGTCTTTATCCAAAGAAATAACTTCCTCTGACTTCTGTTAAATTTTCCTGTAGATAACAACCTCCAGTCCTACTTACTTTCTCACTGGCAATAACATACTGTCTGGAAGGCTTAAGAGACTAACTAATCAAAACACCAAGATACTTTTTTCTTTTCCATAATAATATTATTGGCTTTCACATAAATATGTGTAAGTGGTTTAGTAATGTATACATTACAGTATATCATGTGTATGAATATTGTTATTTTTAAACCCTGTATATTTTAATTTTAATATTTTTTTCAGGAAATCCAGACCACCTCTGAATACAAGTCAAGTTCAGAGAAAACCCACAAGCATCTTATTGGCTCATTAATTCTGTACTCAGTCCTTATATATGTTGTGGCTGCCTTAGTTTATTATTTCTGGTTTTTTCCCAGTACTTTGGGTGATGGAGTATTGCATTCACTGCCATTGCTAGCTTTTCCACTTCTGTAAGTATACAGAGTGGGATTTTTGAATTATTAAAAAGTTTAGTTTTTTTACTAATTTGATTGATATACTAGAAAGTTTTGGACACTGCTTTTTTCGTAAAGAAATATTATTATTTCTTTAATATTTATAAATTTTGAAGAAATGATCACAAAGAAAACTAATTTTAACCTGCTTGTTTTTAAAAATTCTCTACGTTTTTTAAAATGTTAAGCTGAAAGATCATTTAAAAGAAATCAAAAATTATGGAGTATATAAGGTGGAACATAAACTTTTGTTTCATTTTCGGTTTTTTTATCATTTATTGTTATTGTTGAACAAGCATGGCCATTGCATATATATTATAATGTAAAAAACTCCGTGTACATCAGATGCAGGTAACTGTTCAATAGGATGTGTGTTAATGAATGTTTTTGTTAATAAAGTTAAAAATCAAAACGCGCATAAAGACTGAACTGATAAGTTAGGCAGCTTGATGATTTGAAAGCAAGAGTTGTTCTTAAAAATTAAAATATGTCAGTCTTCTTGTAATTTGTTGTTTATATTGTTTGTAGTATAAATCTACCTTTAATAGTAAAATATGGGTAAAGTAAAGCTATTCGTTACAGAGTCTGGATTCTCAAAAGATTTCTCCATTGGTACTTCACTCGAACCATCAAGATAAATGAAGAAAAACTTATTGAACTAAGGAAAAAAAAGAAGTCAATTCTAGATGAGGTCATGGAAAAGGAAACCTACAAAGTTGCCAAAGAATTGTTAGAGAAATTTGATCCTCAGTTACTCAAAAAACAAGAGGTGAGAATTGTTTTACTTAAAACACTTCACAGATAAATAAATGCAAGCTTAACGGTATTTCTTGTTAAACATTTGTAATAAAGTGTGACAGATACACTTCAGTAAAGTTATATATTTATACTTTCAGAAGTAAAATTTGGGTATGATAGAAAGTAGTTTGTGGAATTGTATAGAGTTTTAGAAACCTTTCTACTCGGAGGTTGGTCAGAAAGGTTTCTAAAACTCTATACAATTCCACAAACTACGGAGGTTGGTCAGAAATGTTTCTAAAACTCTATACAATTCCACAAACTACGGAGGTTGGTCAGAAAGGTTTCTAAAACTCTATACAATTCCACAAACTACGGAGGTTGGTCTTATTATTTGTTACCGACATGTTTCAGTTCTGGTTGACTAAGTCTGATAAGATGTTCTTTCATCTTTAATCCAACTATAATGTTCATGTTGATACTGCTAGTAAAAGTTTAATTGTAAAATTAAAAAAAAAAACTTCATAAGTATCTACACAATCTAAATAGCAAGCATTTTGTGCATCGATAAAGAGTCTAAAAGTTAACTAAGAGAAACGTGAACTATGTAATAAGATAAAATTCATTAAAAGTATGCTCTAGCATAAAGACCAACACAATCTAGTTAAGAATCATTATATTTGTCCATGCAAAAAGATCTTACAGGTATATTTAAACCTAAAAATCAAGTAAGTTCGAAAGAAGCTGGTAGGTGTAAAAACAATACAAGTTGAGGTGTTGCATAGAACAACTTCTCTATGAAGAGAAAAACTTTTGTTACTGACATGTTTCAGTTCTGGTTAAAACATAATAATGTTTTTGAAAATTGAGTTATTGCACTCTTGTGTTTAAGTTTGTGACATCAAATGTAGATTGGTATAAGGTCTAAAGAATGCATTAAGAAAACTTTTGGTCATGGAAATGGAGATGTTGCCTTCCAAGTATGAGACTTTTGTGAAGGTGGTTATCACTTTGCAGAGCAGTATCTGCCAAACTTCAAAGTGAAGGCTTAGTAGAGGAGTGTAGAAGGAGTCACATGCGTCACGTGAGCATGTAATGCTCCTATTAGTGAGGAGGTTATGTACGAGAGACATGTTGGAATCTTGCAATTCCAATAGGAGGAGCAGGAGGCTTGTGGCATGTGTAAAGAAAAAGTTTGCATATAGAGGGCAACACTGAATGAGAATACATTTCAGTATAGGAAAATTATAACTTCTTTCAAGGTGGTTATCAGTTTTCAGAGCAGTATCCATGAATAGAAAGTACTAGGTAAAATAATGTGACAAGACATTATATATTGTTTGAGCTGAAAAATTGCATATTTATGCTAATGCAAACTAAAGTATAAAGAAATGTGTGGGAGGGGGCATTTTTAGCTATTGGAGTCCTATAATAGAGAAGTTTACCAGATGTCTTGCGTATGCTACAAAACTATGAAGCAATTATATGGTTATTCAGATTTGTTAGCTTGTTAGGAGTGTCGGCTGGCTATGCTTTCAACCAAGTGACCACCACTGAAAGGTCGATGTTTCCTGATAACTGTATGAAACAGTCAAGCAGAGCATTGTTGTACACCTTGGCCAGACACTCAATGTCTAACCTGTGCTGTTGCTGGCACAGTCTTCATTTGGCAGGATGGTGCCACCATTATAAACTTCCAAGTTTATTGCCACATTACTGGCACCAGTTTCATTATATTGTATTTATCTAGCAAAAAAGCTTTTCCATCTTGCCATGCAGTATTCAAAGATGTTTGCCACTGCTTCATTACAAATAGTTGGGTCATGAAGTTTTTTTCTAGAAACTTGGAAGTTTGTACTCTTCTGAGTGGTCTTTTTCTAATTGCGAGCATCTGCTCAGATAAAAGTTTTGGGGAATTATCAGCCGTACCATGATCCAAAACACTTTGATACCCTCTTTTTAAGGACCAATATTTTTTTTTAACATATTTGGGTGTCCAGGTCATTTAAGTATAAACTGACCTCAGAGTCACCTGCATCTTCAAGTCACTCCTTCTACTTCTTGTGACACCAAGGGAGCTGTTACACATAATGGTTTTGGGGTTTTTCTGTTGCTCATATTTTCTTTTGTGTGGCTAGCACAAACAATGTTTACAGTGCCATAGCTTGGCATCGACTCAACTGATATTTGTTATAAAAGTTGATTAACATACAGGAAACGTATGATATCCTTATTCTTGGTTGGGGGAAAATATGTAAAGGACAATAAATCACATTTTTAAAAGTCAGGCAAACATGAGTGTCTTTTCTTGTAAAAACTGTTAAATAGATGTCCAGAAGTGTGAGGTAAACAAATGGTGAACAGTAAATATTATGATAGTCTTAAAGACATAACATGCAATAAATTGTCAGTATATATATATATACACATGTAAGTCTATGCATCTCAGCCCCAACTCCACTAATAGATATATATATATGTACATGTAAGTCTATACATCTCAGTCTGATCTCCTTACTTCACATTAACAAAGGTAGTGTGTGTAACTCAAGTGTTGAAATTCAGCTCTGACCAGCACATTGTGAAGGTTTAGTATTGCCTGCTTGATACGACTAATGGTTGCAGTAGTTTTGTTTACATATAAGTGTATTTGACAATACATGTGTGTGTGTGTGTGTGTGAGTGATGAAAGTAATTTCTCTTTGTATAGTTGGTGATTTAAAATATGGAATTTTAATTTTCTGTTAAAGATATTATTGGGATATCTTCTCTATTTTTCTTGGGAGTAAATGTTTCCTGTTTTATTTTAGCTTTTACAATATTTTAATAGTCCCAACCTCCATATATCACAGTTTGTAGAGCTTTACATCAGTTTCTAATCGCTGTATATCTTCTTTGTGGTAAAAATTCAATTGTAAGGGAAGGTTCAGATGTAGTTTTTTTAGTTTTTCTTACAGGCTGGTACTAATGAAATCATTTATTTGTTAATCTGAATGTATTTACTTACAGTTACATATACTTAAGTATTTAGATAAAAAAAAGTTGTCTTCGAATACAAAGAGTGGTTAAAATAGAATAATAAAAATGAGATCAAATGTTAATAGGTTTTCATTAACATGAAACCAGAATATTAATATTAGAAAATTGTTTCAAGAAACAGGCCAATGTAAAAATATTAATTTTTTGACTAATGAATACAGTGTATTACATTAATACATCTTTTATTTCACAGAACACTGAAGAAAAAACTGCTCAAAATGGATCCCGTGAGAGTACACCCTTAAAACAAAAAGAAACTGGTAAGCGGAAGTTAAACATAGATTCATTTTGTACCCTCTTGCAGTTTTTTTGTCTTTTTTACTTTTTCCAGAGCAACGTGCATTGCAGCATTCTTCATGTGAACCCTGATTTAAAATGCAGGAAATGTTAGTCTAACCTTCATTGATTTACACTCTTTTCTTTTAAACAACTGTCAAATCTTCATAAGTTGGAAATGGCCAATAAACAGTGATTAATGGCATATCATATAATGGTTTAAAAAACTTATATACAGTGTAGCCCCATTATAACGCGATCGTTGGGGTCCATACAATGTCATCGTGAAACAGGTGGGGTCACGCTAAATCAGGGTTCAAGAAAATCACTGTTCAAACTGACCCAATGTTGACCTTACATCCTAAAACACCTCTGTTTTCGCTCTCTTTGAGTAGTTTTTTACACGTTCCATTTCTGGCAAGTAAATTACCTCTGAATTAAGGAATTTTGTGAATAAATCGTTGTTGTTACAGTAGAAATTAAAACACAAATTATTTTTAGTACGCTTTTTAATTAACAAAATGACAAATAAAAACATTCAAGAATATTAGCAATCATCATTTGCAGTTTATTTCTTAAAATACTGATCGAGTGTTCCTTGCTTGAACGTAGCATGTCTCTGGCTGTGAGCGAAATCTAGAATGCTTCTGAGTTGGAAGATTTTTATGTGGTCCACCTCCTGAGTCTCCAGCCAACGGAGGCTAGCCTCGAGGTGTTCAATGGCTTCAGACACTTTTGGTGGTGGTGGTGGTGATGGAGACTCTTCATTATCCTGTTCTTGTGGCTCGAGAACCGGTACACTTGCCTCCGTTGGTGCTATAGTTACGTTATGGACGATCTCAGCATCCGTCAAGTGCTCATATGTTGAGCATTCAACGTCAACAGAGTGCCTCTGGTGTAGCTCTTCTTTGCCTCACGCACATCTTCCTCTGTGAAGCCATACAAATCTGTATCGTCATCATCATCTTCCGTGGTGGAATGCCATGATGAAAAGGTTAGCTCCAGATCCTTCTCCTGGCATTTCTCTATACACGACGAGCTGATTGCTACCCAGGCCTCCCACCTAAGTGGCAAATTTCCTTCATGTTCAGGCTTTTCTGATAGGCTTCAAGTGTTTTTGAAGGATTTAGTGAAAAAAAAAGTTTGAAATGCATTTAGGAGGTTTTAGAGATTACACAAAGGAATTTTGAGACTTTTTAGATGACGAAAAGTATTTTTAATTTTGATATGAAAATCACTTTGCACTCAGACTAGTTAAAAGAAAAGAATCAATATTTTCACGGACAAATAGTAAAAATACTTCATTAAAAAGATTGATTTTTTTGTGTGCAAAAATCTTCTTATGTTTACTATAAGTCTACAAAATTTTGTAAAGATACACTTAAAATATTAAAAGTTATTAGTATGTAAACTATAACGAGATTATGGTTACGACGTCGGTCCTAGGGACCAAGCCCGTGTCGAAAGAGTTAATGACCCATCGCATTATATCTAAATTCGCATTAAATCGGTGCATGTAAAATCGGGGTTTCACTGTATTTGGAAATCAATTCTTGGTTTGACCATCTCATAAATTTTCCCTGTCAAAAGCACTCTTCGTACTATTTCTATCCTAATGTCTCCCAGTGGGACAGCAGTAAGTCATGGGTTTGATTTCCCCTGGTGGACACAGCAAATAGCCCATTATGTGCCTTTGCTATAAGAAAACACACACATTCTAGCCTAATATATTTAACTTTATGCCTGGCATGGCCTGGTGGTTAGGGCATTTAAATAGCAATCTGTAGGTCATGGAATCAAAACCTGTCACCAATCATGCTTGCATTTTCAATCATTATAATGTGATTGTCTGATCTACTAAAGAATATCCCAAGAGATGCCTTTAGTCTATAACATCAAAATTATAGACCGATAGTCCTGAAGTAGCTTTGCTCAAAATTTAACAAACAACTTTATAAATTTATATCATTTTATATATTGCCATTCAAATTCTTTAAGTTAGACATTACAGTTAATTAGCGTACATTCAAGAGAGGATAATAAAATATTTTATTTCAAAATCTCAGTTAGAGTAATGAGATAATAAAATTCTCTAACAGCCAGTTACTTTGTAATATCTGTTAAGACACCTGAGATACCATGTCGAACATTAATTGGAGGAATATATTAACCCTTAAACTATCCATTTGTTTTAATGTTGTTCACTTCTAGTGAGGCTTACATTTTACACCATAGTGAGTAATTTTATATTTCTCCTGTTGCAAGAACTCGTGTAATGAACTAAACAAATTGGATGAAATTACTCATTTTCTGTGTAGAGGATCGATCTAAAGATTAAAATATGGAAATAAATGCAATATTAATGATATTTTAGTTTAAATTTTTTGTGTGACTTTTATGTTATTAGGGACCCTGTAAGTCATGGGCCTACAAGTAGTTTAATGTATAAGTAATTCATAAAAATATGTTTAAAAAGACTTTGGGGTCCACATAGTGATTCTTTTGACAGATTTTGTTTATTGAGCCAAACTTCAAGGGCTTCCAAATACTGAAGTACAAAGCTTGGCAAAAAAATTGCATCATGCATTCCACTAAATAGTAACCACGTTGAGTCTGTCATGGCTGTTTTTGAAAAAATATTTTTCAGTCAATTTTGATCCTTGTAAAAAGAAAGTTATATTATGTGTTATATGTGACATTTAATGAATTTGGTTTTAGGTAAAACTGGTTGTCATATTGTACTTTATATTAACAAAATGAAAACCATGCATTGTATTTGTCTGATTAATATATATATAAGTGTATAATTACTTATTCATTAAAAACTTGAAAAAACTAATAAGTCAAGTGTACAGGTATGTAATAATTAGGAAGTTCAAAATAAATAGTACAAGACAAGCAAACAAAAGAATCCACAAGAATAAAGTTAAAAATATACATAAGAAAGTAGGCAAAGAAGAAACTATATTTAATAAAATATTAAAGAAAACTGACAACAAGGCCTAAAACTGTTAAATAAAAATGTTAAATGATCTTTTTCATCAATTAGATGTTCATGTACAGAGCTTGAGTATGTTATATTAAATTGATTTTGGAGCCTCACCACATCATTTCAGCTCATGTTGCCATATTTGCCATACTTTAAGTGCTGCCACGTGTCTTAAAAATAGTTCTGTAATACAGTTTCTATTGTAAAAAGACTATGTCCTGTTCAAAGCTCACCACTCTGCTCTGCTGATTTTCTATGATCTATATAGTATACAAGGATAATGGTTTCTCAACACCTTTTTCAAGGGTTCTGTTGCACAGAAATCCATAGGCACTGTGTCCAGTGACTTGACTGATGTGTCTTTATTTAGAACAGCATGAATACTCATTTCATTCTCCAGCTGTTTAATGGCATGCTACAGTTGAATGTATATGTCTTGGAAGCAACTGTGTACATGTGATTTGTGTGGCTTTTTCCAGTGGAGATCCTTCTTAATTATATTGCTTATTGTTTAATGGCATGCGACAATTGAATGTATATGTCTTGGAAGCAACTGTGTACATGTGATTTGTGTGGCTTTTGCCAGTGGAGATCCTTCTTAATTATATTGCTTATTGTTTCCTGGGGCACTTGAATAGCTTTTGCTATTGATCTTTATGTTCATGGATTCTCATCTTTTATAAGTTGCCCCTCTTTGGGGTATGACTTGTTGCAAGTATCTTTTTGGATAGTCCTGGCACCCCAATTTGATCCATATTCCTTTGTTTTCCATTGCCATTAATTACAAGGAATATCCCCAGTCAGCAAATCTTTGTGATCTGAGTGGTTGTCATGTGTTTTGATTTGCATATTCATAATAATTTTAATATAACATACTTACTTTCTGTATTTCATATGTTTGTAATGTTGTTTTTACCATGTAGATTTTTCAGATATTTTCTTTTCTCTTAGATAATAAATCTTCTTAGTTTTATTGGTAATGGTTTATTGTCATTTGTCACTAAAACAATTGCTGTTTGCATTGTAATGATATTATATGTGTGTTCATATATGTAATAAATAAATACTTGTTCTTTCAACTATTTATCCTTAGCTGTTTATGGCTAGCCCTTTCAGTAATTTTAGTAACTGGTCTTTAGACTAATTGGCAGTTGATTTAATTCTTTGCTAATGCAGTTTTAAATCACCATACACACTTCAGTACTTACCAGCAGTACTTGGATAAATAGTTGCAAGTTCTGAGTTTGGGGTCCAAGTAATAGGGCATGAAAAATTAAATAATTAACAACATATTGAATGTGTATATATATATGTATATATATATATATATATTTCTTTATCTTTATTTTCAAGTTTTTTAAATTACAATTTCCTACGTTTTTACTATCTTAGAGGTACGACAACGAACAAAAAGAATACCAGAAGTGGGCCAACCAAGAGAAAATATAAAAATCCCTGGTGTAGTATATCCCCCTGTTACACCTTATGTATCTGGCTTTATTCAGAATCCTGTTGTTAGTCAAAGAAATCGACAGTGGGGTAAGTATTAAACTGAATTACTTTAATTTTGTTTTTTACACATAAAATGTTTCTAGCAGTAAAAGTTATGTACTTGTTTGAAATATTGCTGTTTTTAGCATTTTTGTTTCAAAACTTTGTTGTGTGAAAAAGGTCCAGAATTTGCTTCTTCAAAGAGTTTAAATGCCAAAATGTTATAACACTAAGCTGCATGAACAATGTTTGCAGTATTTAAAGTTATTTCTATGTTCCAACTAAATCTAATGTAAAATTTAATACAACTGATACGCCAGATGTGCAATATGGTTGTCGTATTATTTGTTTGGGTTATTTTCTTGACTTTGTTTTTGTGTCTGTTATATTTGAATCTTCTGATTTAGGAGTTCGTCCTACTGGTCCAGCAATGCCTACTCCAGTCTTGCCACAACAAAGGAATATGCTCGATCGTTTCATTGATTACATGGTAGGGGATGGGCCGTCAAATCGCTATGCACTCATATGCCAGCGATGTAATTCTCACAATGGAATGGCACTAAAAGAAGAATTTGAATATATAGGTAAGAATTTGCCAGTTTAATGGTGTGTGCATAGTTAATCTATCAGTGTATCTTAAAGATCATTTATGCTTTTTTTTTCAAAAAGTAACAATTAACAATATCTAAAAATATAAAATGAAGATAACCAAGTATTTAGTGCAACATCAGGCCATTTTTTGCACTACTATGAGGTTGGAAAGATAGCGAAATTACAGAAAGGAAATGGCAGCCTAGCGATAGATCCCCTTATGGTTCATCAAGATAAAAAATTCAGGTGGTCCACAAACAAAAAAACTTTGAGAACAACTGTTTTAGGTACGGGAGAAGTAAACTAAGAAGTTTAGTAAAGAGCATTAAATTAATGGATGTAAACTTATGTATTATTTTTACATGTATTAAAAACTTTTAGATCCACTTGACGAATCCTCGATGAGTAATATTAATAGCAAAGTTCAATAACTGTTGTAGCAAATAAAAAAATTTTATCGTTATTACTTAAAACAATCACATAAGTTTTCTCCTACCATTACATTATAAATGAGATTTACTGCAACAGTTATTCAATGTTTTTGAATGACATTTTTTGTGTTTTCTAGTGTTTAGGTGCTGCTATTGTTTTCAGCTCAATCCATCAAGGAAACAAAGGCCTCAATCTGTCAAGATTGCAGAAACTCAACCATCTTCAGAAATACCAGATCATAAATCATCTGATGTATCAGATGGTGTTGGTAAGTAGGTTTATAAGTAATAGTTTTTTTGGATATTAATTTGTACTGACCAATTACTGTTGAATTTTAATCAGAATTGTGTTTCAGACTTTAGGGAACAAAAGAAAACAAAAATGTAGAAAATTCAAAGAATGTATTAAAACCTCTTAACATTTTAAACTTGACTGTACGAGACCAAAGTACAAAAAAGTTGTTAATGATTTGGATTTTTTTTACATTTTGCAAACTTATTAGCAAAAATAAAAAAATAAATATTATTTCATAATATTACAGCAGTTAAACTGTTTTGCTCTACCTTATTCAGTTACAACACTTTTGGGTCAATTAAATTTCTTATTGTTAATGTGAAGTATGTCTCAAACTACTGATAATAAAATTCTGGTGTTAGTGGTAGTTCATATATCCTCCCCCCCTCCCCCCCAGTGGTACATTTGAAGGCTTTTATAATGCTATAAATTGTGCCCCCCAGTGGTATGTCTGTGCACTTACGACGCTAGAAACCAGGTTTCAATACCTGTGGTGGGCAGAGCACAGATAGCCCATTGTGTAGCTTTCTGCTTAATTCCAAACAAACAAGCTAAAAATTGGATTTTGATACCTGTGGTGGGCACAGCACAGATAGCCCATCGTGTAGCTTTGTACTTGACTACAAACAAATATACACCTTTCTACTGCTAGTTTATTTTTAATCCCTTTTAATTCTTATCAAACTTATTATCATTTGCTAACTTGATGTCTTTATCTTATCTCAACCATCTTTTAACAATATTGAGTGTTTTTATTGTTTTAATTCCAGAATTACACATTGTTTAAACAACAATACATCATTCCTTCTATAAGCTCTGATATCAACCTGCTCACACATATTTATGAAAAAATAAATAAATAAAGTTACACTTGATAGTTATACAAGAGCTATCATGGTAGTTTATGGTCTCTTGATAAAGATGTGTATAAGAAATATTGAGAAAAAAAACTGAAGAAAATTTATCATCCCTATCTCTTTCAAATGAATCTTTTCAGAAAAATTAACCTTCAAAGTACTGAATAATTATGTGAAATTTTTTTGATTGTCAAAATTTCAAGACTCCAAAGTTTCAACTAATATTATCTTCTTTCAAAAATGCAGTGATTTTAAAACTTCAACATAGCTCTATCACGATATTATTTTAATAAGTCCAATTCTTTTACGTTTAAAAATTGAAATGACTTGTCTTCATCATACACTTAATCTTCTGTAGTTATTGAAAATATGAATATTGAATGTTGTGAGAAATGTTATCAGTCTTGATTAATAGTGCTTTGTAGTTGTATATGTGATTTGTAAAGAAAAATTATATCTAAACCTAATTTGCAGTGAAGTTTGTAATTTTTTGTTACCTCTGTGTTTGATATATTTTCTGAATTAATAGTTCATTGGTGTACTTGTTTATATGTTGTAGAAGAAATTGAGGAAAAAACAGAACCCCATGATTCTACACGTGAATATTCTAGTACTTTACGTGGTAATGAAGATAACAGAAAAGTAGTAGAGGAACTGCTCGTACCTACAACAAATGAGGACTCGCAAGAAAACCAGAACATTAGTACTAATGGTCATGAGTAAAGTTAATGAATGCTACTTATGGTTATATAAGGTATCTTGTTTGAAACTTGTGGAGCAAAGTAAATATAGTAGTTCTGAATTTTCAGATGTTTTTTTAGTCATTAAGGAGATGAACAGGCAGACACAACCAGTCTATGGAATTGTCAGTCCTTGCGATTCACAGTTGTTCCAGTGAGTGGTAGTTTTGTTGAAAATGTGTATTTAGATATTCTTTTCTGTTCTTGGTAATTCAGAATATTTCAAAGTTTAACAGGCAGTTCCTGTCCACTGCTCTTTATCCCATCAAGCTTTCACTTCCCTCCCTTAAGCTGTTTTCAGTTTGTTTGTTTTTTTTCTTATATTTCAAAAAAATCATTAGCGATGTTTAGCTTTATCAGTATATTCTATCACAATTCATTTTTATTTTAAAAAGTCTGAAGTTGTATTATTTTTCATGTCAGAGTTAAATACAGATACTAATGTAATTGCTAAACACCTGTAACAGTTTTAGTTAATGGATGATCGGTTGAGATGTGTTATAGTTTTGAATGTATTTCTGAACTTTTTTATTAATTAATGTACTATATTGCTAGCTACTGAAAGGCAGAAATAATTTAACTATTCAAAATGCCAGAACTAGTAGTTAGAACAATTTTTTATACTTTAAACATTGAAAACTTGGCAATCATAATTTTTATTGCATATTTTTTATTACACCTATCTATTAAAGATGGTCACTGTATAAAAATATGTATATAAACCAGATAGAGTAAAGCAGAAAACTTTCAAAGGAACTTCACAACAACAACAAAAATATAACAAGAAGTCATTATAAACCTATGAAAAAAATCAGTTTATAGAATGAAACTAAAAGCATATCCAGGAAAAATTAATTATATTGTTTCTCTTATAAACTTATTTTATCATCATTTATTTGGCTATGTTGTTTGAACATTCTTATAGTAACATTTGTGTTCAATCCAAACTGTTACTTGTAAGCTTCATATTGATAACTCTTTTCCGTTCGTTTCTCACAATTTTAGAAGCATATGTAATAACCATTGAAGAGATCTATTCGAGTAGGCTTAGGTGTTAATAAAACAGATTCTTGGCTTGTTTTGATTTTTTTTTTAAATAATAAGTTTTCCCGTATGAATGTTATAGTGGTGACACAAAACAGTTGTGACCTTCTTCCTTTTTTTTTTGAGTTATGGCCTTATTACACATAATAAGGTTACAATGAATTTAAAATAAACATTCATATTTTCACATACTTCTTACACAACCTCTCAAAGTGGTTGTTGGGATTTTTAACCACAATTTAGATTGTAATGAAATTATGATATAATTATCTAAGTTTGATAAAATTTATAAATAACATGTTTTCTTATGCTTCAGTTTTAAGAAGAGTACAAATAAAAGAAGGGTTGTCAGTTTTATTGGGTAACCTACAAAACGAATAAGGATCATGATATTTACATGTAATTATTTTTAAAGCACAATTTCAGCATCTTTATTGATAAAATTTTGTTGATTTGTTAATTTAAACTGCAAGAAGTATAATCAGTAAGTGAGGTGAAAACAGGTTTTTTTTCACACAATCATGAATAAGAAATAAGATTTTCTGCTATAAAACTCGTTGACAGTACTGATGAATTCTCTCTTTTTTTATACATGTAGTATTTTCACTTGAAGACGAACACTGGTCAAAAAACAAACCTGGCTTAAGTTTGGAAAGTTTAACAAGTCTTAGAGAATCTATCAAAAAGTTTATATTGCACTATGTACTGAGTGTTGAAATTAAATAACAGACACATCTTTTTTTTGTAAAATGTAAACAGAAAAAGAAAAATATATGTATATATATATAAACGTACTAGGTCTGTTATTATTTTTTTAAGGGATCATTCACAATTGTCGTCATTAAACTTATCAAGCATTGTTCCATAATTTCATGATCCACCCACTCATGCATTTTATAAAACTTAAAAATGTTGAAATATAAGATCTGGTATGGAGTGATGCTCCATTAGTCACATTTATTAAACACAACCATTGATAGGAAAAATATTAACTCTGTCATTTACCTTCGTACATTATCGAACTGGTTTATGCTTTGTTTTACCCTCCCACCCACCATTATCAAACAGTGTTTGGTAATTTTTAATTGTAAATGGTCCCTAAAAAGTTATCATTAGTATTTTTAAACAGTTCTGTGGAGAATAATGTAATGCAAGTTAGTTAAATTGTTCCATTTTTATATAAAGAAGTTTAATAATAGAGAAAATTGGTTACAGAGACAGTACTCTCAAGAGCCCAGATGAAATATCAAATTTTACAGTAAATTAATACTAATATAAATAATTTATTGTGATTAAGTAAATGATCATTCAAAATACATTAAATCTCTCTCTCTCTAAAATATTAAAACATGTGAATGAAAACATAATGATATTCAATTTCTGTGCTTTGTGAAAGAATGTCTAAGAAATGTACTTTGATTTTATGTTTTCTTTACGAAAATTTTGTGTTAGCCAGTTGCATAATAAACTATTGTTATAACTTGAAGTTATTTTAGTCCTAATGATCCTGATTTTGACGAATTTAATTGTAATATTTACCACTGTGTGATATATGTCTGTGAAAAATACCAGATTAGACAGTTACAGTGATTATTTATAGACACATAGTAACATTCACTTACATATATTTATATGGCTTCCTTAAACCAGCTAAAGTACAGATCTATTTGATTCGTGATAGCAGATTGATCATGTTGTCCAACTGGTTATTGAAATATTCTTCCTTGAAAACATTTTTGTTCTTAGTTTTTTCTACTTAGTTATGGGTTATTAAATGTATTTTCCTTTATAGTTATATGGTAGAGCATTTTGTAGTTTCAAAATGTTTGTTTGCCCCTAAAAAGCAGAAAAATCAATTAATACTTTTGAGTATATTTTATATCAAAACGGTTCAAGTCATCTACTAAGCAGTTTAAAGCAAAAGTTAACATTAGATGTTACGTGCTTCCTTTTAACTCTAAATTAAACTGAGATGTGGCTTTAGTGTAATTACTGTTGTTGTTTAGAAGAAGATCTGTAACAATCAGTTGAAGTAAGAGGAATATTGGCAACCCAGTCTAATTTGTATTTCTTTGATAGTGTTTAACCTTAGCTTTCTATTTTTTTTTAACCTGTAAATTGTCTATACGTGTAGAATCTATTACTTTTTAAAAATTAGGTTAAAGTACAAAGGTTTTTGTGATCATTATATGTAAATTACTGTTAGATGTTTATCAAGACTAATACAAGGAGATAAAAAATGTAGATGATTAGGAAGAGAAACCTTGAGACTTTATATTGATGATTAGTTCTGAAAGCAGTTATATGAGTTGATGAAAAAATGCTGATTTAATAGGGTTATTTGTGTGCCCACCAAATTGTATTATTTCTTACATTTTAAAATAAGTTTACTTTTTTTAAACACTAGTCACATACTTTACACATTTTCTATGGTGTTACTCTCATTGTTTTTATGATTACACCATTTGTGTCCTGTTAAGTAGGATAGAAAAGAAATGCTAAGTTTTCTCTTCGTATATTTATTATGAAAGTCTGTCAGCCATGAATATGTGATTTGTAAATTTACAAACTGTGCGACTACAATGATTAATTAGAATGTAGGTAATGCATTAAGTATATGTTCAGTATTAATACAAGATGTGTTGTTGCTAGCCTAGATTTTGGCATGAGGAAATTCTAGGTAATGTAAATTAATAAAACCCAAAATAAATGGAACTTATTTTTTAAAAAACTTTACCAGCTGATTTTTTGTAATTAAGTTTATTTTGAAGTTTGAAAATTATTCTATATTGGTGCTAGTATTGACTTTGATGATCACGGTGAATGGTATTAAAACTGGTTTGGTTATCTATTTTACGTGTCAGTTATGTAGCAGACATAAGCTAACAATAAACTAAATTGGATAATCTTAAAGAAAATAAAAGAACTCAATGTATTTCCAGTCGTGTTATTGTCAAGAGTGTATCTTTTTAACTTTTCCAAATTTTTTTTTGGTGTGAGTTACTTTTTTTCCTTTTTTCTTTTTTTAAATGCTTGAACTAGCTCAAATAAATATGAATTGTTTATTTGATTTTTTTAAGACCATAAACTTATAGGTTATTTGGGTTTAAAAGTATTTGTCCATTAATAATATAAATTGGTTAATCCTTACAAGAAACATCGTAAGAACTACTACCTTGAACATCTAGTCATTAAAATTATACCAAACTATGAAATAGAATATTAATGAAATATGTAAGCTTGTGATTTAACTAATATCGTCTTCTGATCAAAGCAACTATGTCTTCCAAAGTTATCTAAATGTAAATATTAACGTGAAATACTTTGATCGTGTTTTTTTTTTAGTGCGAGCATATTAAAAAATAGTTGCAAGGATTTTAAAATTATTATTGTGTGCTTTATTTTTTTGCGAGGACAAGATCTTGTTAAAAGATACCTACATTATATTGTGTTTTATCCATGCTGCTTGTATGTAGGATTAATTTTCACTTGTCTTGCATATATATATATATATATATATTTATATACAAGAAATGAAAATTAGGCATACATGTACAACATAATGTAGGTATCTTTTAACAAATTATTGTTTTTTCAAAAATATATATATATTTAGTATTTTATAAGTATATTATAAAAATCATGTGGGGAAAGCAAAGTGATATTTTAAGAATATTTAAATATTTGGTCAAAAAAGAGCTAAAACTAAACCCCCAAAACCCTATACCATATTGTTTTGTAACGGTACCTTTTTCTATACAATTAGACTTAAGTTTTCATATGGTCAAAATCTTTACAATCCATTATATTGAATGCTGTTGACTGTGTTTTCTTATCTTTGTGGTAAAATAATGAAAAAAAAAAGTTTGCTTACTTTTGATTGTGAATATCTTAAACATTGTTATTGGTTGTTTTTTTTATTATAGGCTGAACTATTCAGAAATTCTTGGGTTAATTATGTATTCCCTGAAAGATCCTTTATAAATATGCTTAGAATATAAGAAAGAAAACTTTTGGAATCTTTCAAATTTATCAAATTAAAGATCTCTTTTCCTAAAAATATATAGCAGAATTTCAGAAATAAATTACAAGTAACTTTTAACTCAAAACACTGAAACATCTCTGCTGAATGTTAGTAACAAAAATTCAGTAAACAAGTCTTCAGAAATGCTATTTTTATCAAAGCAATGTAACATTTGTTCTAAAAAATACTTTAAATGGTTGCTGTATGTATACGAAAGCTATTAATGTGTGATTACTTCAGTTTGTTTAACAAATTCTTAATCAGGATATAAAAAAAAAGAAATAATTATTTCTTCACAAATTACACTATTTTGCACTTCGTCATAATACACAGTAAATTAATGTAGAATAAAGTTACTGTGACTTAATGAGTTTTGTTAACAAGTTTTATATTTTGAATCCTAAAAGTTGCTTTATAAAATTCGGTTTCAATTATATTCCGGTGGTATGTCTGCAGACTTATAACGCTAGAATTCGGGTTTTCGATACCCGTGGTGGGCAGAGCACAGATAGCCCATTGTGTAGCTTTGTGCTTAATAACAAACAAACAAACAATTATATTTACTATATTCGACAACTAGATATAAAATCGAAATCCTTTCATCATCCTTTTTTTTCTAATTGTAGAATGTAATTAGTTATTGTAATTCTATATTGTTTTCAGGTTCATCTGGAATGGATTTATTTCTTGGCATGTTAGATTTACTTAAAAAGATAACTATTACATTGAAAAAACAACTAATATTGTACTTTTGGTAAGTCTTAGAAATACTTTGGAATATTTTCATTACAAATATGTTTTGTATACATCAGCAAAACAGTGGCAGTATTTACACTGGTGAACTATATGTTTAACTTTGACAACTTTACATACACATTTTGAGTGCTGGAACAATTCTGTGCACGAGCTGTCAGTGATCAAGAAGATACACATTTGTTGGTCTGACTTGTAACTAGAACTAATTTATTCTTAGTTTATTTACGTAATATTCTGACGTCATGTAAGTCAGAAAATAATTTATTTTGATAGATTTAAGACAAGGCAGAAATCTGTAGAAGACGTTGAGATTTTGCAAGTCCAATAAATTTACTATTTATGGCGTTGAATGTCTGTTCTTTCTTATATTGATAATTTCGTGCAGATAGCTCATTGTCTAGTTTTGCACTGAGGAAACAACAAATGTTATTACAATATTCCTGTAATCAATGATCTACTAAAGATTGTTTTGAATTTCGCGCAAAGCTACACGAGGTCTACTAAAGAGTATAATTTGTTTTTCAATTCTCTTTACAAAGTTAATAATAAAAAAATTGAAAACAAATACTAAATCGGAAAATAAACAGATATATGTCTCGTATTTTTAAATTGTTACAATTTCATTTTTGTTAACATTAACCGACTCTCTACTGCAAATACTTCAGTTAAACTATTAGTTTTTGTTGTAAACATTTTTTTTACAGTTAAATGGTTGTTTTGGTTTCCCTTGTGTGATTTAATAATTATTACGGTATGGTTATATGATAAATTTAGAACATTAAAACAATTATTGTTCCGTAACATCTGCATTGGTCTGGCATGGCCACTTGGTTAGGGCGCTCGACGGGCAATCTGCGGGTTCGAATCTCCGTCCAACCAAGCATGCTCGCCGTCGGAGCGTTATAATGTTATTTGTTGATAAAAGAGTTGGCAGTGATGACTAGCTAAATTAGGGACGACTAGCACAAATACCCCTCGTGTAGTTTTGCGCGAAATTCAAAACAAACAAACGTCTACAGTATATTTTTTAAAAACCTTTGAGATAAATTATACTTTATTTATAGGACATTAATTCTTCCAAAATATTTAACAGATTGAATTCTGAAACAGCCGATCTACCAGTTAATATTTTGTAGTGAAAAAACTCCTTTTCAATCGTATGATACATAGATAAATTGAAATTGGTTACGTTTTGGCCTCATCTGAATCCTCTCGGGCAGCTAGAGTTCTCCTGGTATCTTCTTTCTAATCAACTAAGTCAAGATGATACAAAAGAGTATTCTCATTAAAGTCCGAACCATCAGTTGTTACCTCTGATTCTTGATCTAACTAGTGCATAATATGTTCGTCAATGATATAAGGCTTCAGCTTATCAACATATTCTATGCACCGATGTACACAACAAGAGCAATTTAGCTCATAGTTTAATGAACTGAGTTGTTGAAACACGCGATAAAAACAGGTCCAGCCAGAGCTTAGTTGCTTCTATTCCACGGACTCTGTACGAAAGACATACCCAGTTCTTCACATATGGTGGCCTTTTCTAGCTGCTGACATGCAAATTTATATGCATCAAATAATGCATACCTCAACAACCTCGGATGATATTGTGGTCATACATCATTTCCACAGGGATTTTTTTTTTTTTTTTTTTTCCAAATATAAGCATGTTGGGTCACAACCAATCAACTTCTGCTTGCATGATACGCTGTCATGATGTACAGTAAGTGTTTGTCCCAGTCAGTTCAGTTAGGGTAAACAAACTTCACAAGCACCCATTTGTTAGTCTGTATTACCTGCTTTATCAAACCATCATGTATTTGCATGTCTTTTTCACACCTAAAAATTTATACAACTCAGAAAATAATTAGTCCTTCAATCTATTTGGATCTTTTCAGATGTTTTGAATTGTGCGATCCATTATTCAGCCAACTCATCAGTAATATACTGTGCCAGAGTATCGACCAGTGGATAAGTTTGAGTCCATTTGATGAAGTAACAGATAAAGACCAGCATATATATTCATGGAGAGGACTAGCTATATCAAAGACTATTCTCTTCTGTTTTTGCACATTAGTACTTGTATACGTAACCCCTTGTGGATGAGTGTGGCCCAGTGGTTAACATGCCAGACTGCAGATCCGAAATTCTGGGATTTGTATCCCATTACCGTTGAAACAACTTGTACTTCACATTTTGGTGTCATAGGTGCATTATAAGAGTGATGGTTAAATCTTGCTATTCGATTAGAGTAGCTCATGAGTGGACCGTAGATTGTTGACTAGTTGCCTTCACCCCTAGTATATAACTTTAAAAATTAGGGAGCTTAGATACTGGCAAATTGAGCTGGATGATAAAAGCAGGCCCAAAACTGCTTTTAGTACTCACAGTGGTTTCTACAAATTCCATGTCATGCCATTTGGAAGAGGGGAGGCAACTAGTGAACATAACCTACTGCCAACTCATGGGCTATTCTAATCGAATAGGCAGATTTAATTATCACTCTTATAATGCACTTATGACACCAAAATGGGAAGCAAATTTTTTCAGTGGTAATAGGGTGCAAAGCCCAGCATCTCGAATCTACAGTCTGGCATACAAACTACTGAAAAACAACTCAGGTTGGGTCTGGCTGCTATCCTGGGCATTACAGTAGTCAACTTGCATCAGAACACTTGGAAGTCAGTCGAGTTTGTTCAGGGCTGTGTGATGCTCAGTATATGTTGATAAAGATACATAGACATATTATCAAGTTCATGACTGATACCAGAGCCACCACAATCATGGTTAACAATGCAGTGTATCAAGCACTCTTAGTGTAGCCACCACACTGACCAACTGACACAATATTTGTTCTGGTGATCAACTACACGTGAATGGAGAGACACATCTCCAATTATGTCTGGATAATGTCATCTACAGAGTAAAGAATTTTTTTCTGATGTTGGTTCAAGTATTGAGATCTTTAGGATGGACATATTGTGGAAAATATCACATGCGCAACATGTGGATTATATTTCTGTGTAAAAAACATCCAATACTAACCAGATTGGTCCAAGATAAAAAAAAAAGAGTCACAGTACCTCTAAATGCACAACTGGTGTTCTATTGTGTACTAAGGACTAAGTGTTGTGTGTTATCGCCAACTTTCAGTTGAAATGGTCATTGGCATATTAAGTGAAGTATAAGCACCTGAAACTAGCTATACAGCTAGAGTTGCTTCTTTTGCATCATGACTGTCAGAACATATAAATTCATTGATCGATGACTGTGATAGTAATAATAATTAAGCACAGTAATAGGAACTCGGTGAACTGGTGGTTTCATATGCTGATGTGTTTGTGGGACCAGATAGATGTTTGGAGTGGAAAATAGTAACTCGTCACCACATAGATAAAGAACAAGATGACCTGCACTGATATATTTCTACTACCACAGACAAATATCTAAATGCACTGGAAGGTGCCCATTGGTTCAGAACTTTGGATCCCGCCTAGTTTTCTGGAGCAGCAGTCATAGCTTGCCTATGACCCTCCTGCACCTGTTGATTAGTCAGGTGGAATGAGTGATTTTGTCTATCATGTCAAAGATAATGTCTCTGTTAGGGTGTAGATATATCGAATACTCAAATGATGCTGCATCACTTTGTTTGACAGTCCATCATAAACCAGTTGTTGTGGTCTCCTGAGGATATGGTTGTATAAGTCTTAACATTAAGTTATGCAAGTTATTTACATAGCCCTATAGATAGCTTAGTTCTACACTGGGTAAAAATGTCTATGCAACTGAGCTAAAACTATCCCAATAACTGAGCTGCTCCTCATCCAAGAACTCAATTGTCAGTTGATTGGTCCATTAATGCTCAACACCAGGCCTTGCACCATCTGTTTTTGAGTCAACCTGTTCCATGCTTAAGGAATAAATCCAGTTCTTCATTGGCAGTAACCTTGAATACTAGAGGAGAAATCTGCTTCACCTCACTCATATAGACATGTGGCTGTGGCAATGAGACACCTTTAATAGTATCCCAATCAACACTAGGATCAGCTGCAATGGAGATTAACACCTTGTCACACTTTGAAAAAGAAGTCTGCCACTTGTGTGCCAAGCTGGTAACCACCAAAAGGATTTTGGATCAGACACAAGACCATGACAGCAGCAAGTCACCAGACAACTTCCACATTTAAGGATCTGCTGACAGGGTTGAAATAGGGGAAAAGGTTGTCTGGCATCATATCTGCCGTGGGTGAATGTATATATATTTTATTTTATTTGGATTAATTTTAAAGTGTGTGTGCTTTAGTATGTGTGTTATATGTACATGTACCTCTGCATCTTTTGTTTATTGTAATTTTGTCCTCTTTGTTATCTATGTTAAAGGGCTTCTTCTTTTATATTTTAATCTTGCCTTAGTGGATCTAGTGCGTATTTTCATTATTTGGAATTGTTTCTAACCCTTTTTTGTGTAGTAAAGAATTTGATATGTATTACAATTGAGTGATGTTGAAGTTTATCTAAATGAAAAGCTGTAGTTTCGTCTTGCTTTTTATTTGTGCATTTTTTATGTTAAATATTTTTTTATTTCATTAGTGTCAGGCATAATGTGTTAGACTACCTTCTAAAAAATTAATACATTTTTTTGATGTATCTGCATGTGTTTTTTATATTGAGATTGCCTCTTTTTTTGTTTATGTGTCACCATGAATCTGAATAATCAATAATGTAGAAAAATTCTGCGTTATTAGAGAAGGTAGGTTTCTTTTTTATTCGTATTGCAAAACCACATCAAGCTATCTGATGTGTCCACCGAGGGGAATCGAATCCTGATTTTAGCAGTGTAAATCCGAAACTGACCACTATCCCAGTAGGGGACAAGAAGGTAGGAAGCCCAGGATATGCCCGTATATAACATTTGCATTCTATGTTAAATAATTTCTTTATTATTCTGTGTTAAAAGGCTCAATTTTGCATTTATCTATGTTAACCCTAGAATACCAGCGTTAAATTCTCAATCATTAACGTCAAGTGATCCCACGCTGGTATTCTAGGATTAAAGGGGTTATTTTGATTATGTATTATTGTTTTTTCTTTAAAGGGATTAAAATGATACTAATGGACTCGTTGGGTAAAAAGTACACAGTCATTTGAAGCATTCATTGCTCAAGAGTATATTTGTATTGCATTTTTTGTATTCTTCTTCAGGGTTGGTGATGTCTGTGTGAAATGCGTTTTTTGGTAAGCCAGAAAGGGTTAACACATTAACACACAGCCAATACAATATTAAAGTTTATTAGTAGTAAAATTAAAGTTAATTGTCAGCTTGAGACAAACCTGAAGTAGACAAGACAAGAAAATGTAGTATGTGAATATACAATGTATGTCTGTCTTCTTATAGTGTTATAATAGTTATTCTAAGTTTCACTTTCAATAGGAACTCCGAAACTAATGTGTGTCTAACGTACTTGCAAAATTTTCTCACTAATCAATCGATATGAAACACGTTGACTGACTCACTTTCTAATTTACTAACAGGCAGTGAACTAAAAAACTCAATCTAACACATTTAGTCTGGCATTTTTATATTGCCCTAGTTTTCTACGTACTTTAGTAAACTTCGAGATTCTTACAGAGGTCTAAATTTTCATCACGTTTCTAGACTTTATACGTCATGCAATTAAAAACTTCCTCTGGCGAGCAAAAACATTAGAATAATAAAAATATTTCCCACGATAGATTAAAAGCTGTAATTTCTTTTTTGTTCTGCATATGTGTATGTTTCATATGATGCATGATCGAAAAAAACTGTTAAGTTGGTCTTCAAGTTACTTTTGTTTCTTTGTTATTCTCGAAGTAGGTAATACCTGTTACCGCTTAATGCGACCTTGTAAGAATATTGACCGCAGTAGCTTTTAATGATTGTTCAGGTGATATCCAGAGGTCATGGACCTACCTATACATAATAAGAGTATCTAGTCACATAACAGTACATGCCACACTGAGTAAATATAAGGTTTCTTTTGATCTAACCAGCTTTGGATTTGATAGTCTGGTGGATGATCTGAAGCTAAGAACATCTATTAGAAGCAAAAGTCTGTCTTAAGTAAAAATACAAGTACATAAATTGTATTTGTATTGTATATAGAGGCATCGCAAGGTACTGACACACGCGGTTCATGCCCGAATCTTCAGTTGGCATCTTAAAAAATGAGAATAGAAAACCATGATCAATATCCTAGTGAAACTTCGAAAATTCTCGTGCCTATGGGCCTGAGCCCCGAATATTTCAAGTACTTAGCAACGCCACTGATTGTACATATTACTTAAGATTGTTCATATTGCTTTATACTAGTGTCCAGTTTCGTTATTCTATTTGACATCAACTCAGTTAAGTAAGTGTTCTGGTATTGCTCTGTAATAGAATATCTTGAACGAATCTCCTGTTATTCAGCGGACCTATACGATCACGCTCAAACTTTATTACACTAATCTCGGACTTTGTATATGTAAAGTCGTGCAGCAAACTGTTTTTGAGTCCATGCCTGTCATAATTACAGAGTCACAAATAACACATGATTCCCACACAAAAAATTACAAACAAGGATACCGTCAACCAATATTGCAATTTATCACTTAATTACTGCCAGGGTATACTATGCATTTTACGTGGAATAGGGGAGATTTGTCTTCTTTTTTTTATATATATAATTTGTTTACTTGAGTGTTGTAACACGCAAAAACATAATATTACTCAATGTAAAGCAGTATGTGAACCCATCTGTAGTGAACAGTATATAAAAAAGTCGATAATTTGAGGATTAACGCTTCTTTTAGTTTCAGGTTGGACAGGTATAAATATTATATTTAGTGTCTCTTTAGATTTAGCAGATAAAATAGGTGTCTTTAGTGAATTGTTTGACGTTATGGAAGAAGCATTCAGTACTTATTGTACTATTATGAAATATTTTATCAGTGGTGTGTCTTTTGAAAGTCATTTTCGGTAAATATATCCAAAAACTTTTAATTGCTAATGTAGTCCTACAGTGTTTGCTTTTGAGCTTGTGGTCCTTATTATGAACCAGATTGGTATACAGAACGGAATGTTTTATTTTGATTTGAATATTTCACCTTTATGTATAAGTGTATTTTGACAAAGAGCAATTACATGTGAAGTACGTAAAATGTGCGGTTCATGAATATTTTGGATGTCACAGCGATATGTCTGCAGACTTATATCGCTAGAAACCAGGTTTCGATACCCGCATAGATAGCCTTTTGTGTGGCTTTGTACTTAATAACAAAACAAAACAATCGTTGAGAAAATATTATCACTGTGGATTTCATAAAAATTTAGGATATAAATTTCATTAGTAAAAATGTTTTTAAAATATTTTAAACTAAAAACACGATAACTTCCAATAGTAAATACAGCAAAAAACTGCTATCCAACAGATATAAAGTTTAATAATATTTCGTTTAATTGATCCTAGGCCTGTTTTATGCTTGTTTTTTTCCATCGAGTTTAATTTTCGAGGCAAGATATGTGTCAATAATTGTCAAATTAGATAATAAATGTATTTTGTCAAGTAATCACGTACAGTATCAAAACTTTTTATGACAGTAGAATTATCGAATTAACTTAAGTATGTTGTATGAAGATATACTCGTTTAGTTACAGAATTTCTGAATTTTTTATTATAACTATAAGTTTTTTAACTCAAACTGGTTTCAAAATTCTTAAACCACTTACTCAGTTACTACACGAAGTTTAGCCTAAACTTTAGGCCAATAACGTAAATTAGGCTTACACGGACTAAGTCACTAAATCAGTGGATAGGCTACGCATTTCCATTGTAATTTTAGTCTTGTTTTACTGTATAATACAAATTATAATTAAAAAGCATACTTTTTATTATTAATATTGAGATTGTGAGTTTGACGTTGTGTCGTGATGTACCATGGATAATCAACCAAGCGAACTGTCGCCAAATTCTCCTAAAGATAATACTCAAGTAGTACGAATGATGAATGATTTTTCAGATCTTCTACAACAAAAGACTCCACACGTCAGAACTACTTCCAAGTTTGCCCTTAACTTACCATCAACAACAGATAAGTCCAGGTTTAGTGCTGTTAGAAGTTCGTCTAGTTCTAGTAAGCCCATAAGTTGTAGTGCCAGTGATAGGCCCAAACTTAATTGGCGAAATATAAAGACAAGAGCAGTAGGTTTACCTTGGAGTAGGAGTAGCATTTCAACAAAACTAAGCTTTGCGAGTCCACAGCCAAATAAATTTCTGGATAAAGCTGAAGCCTTACACCTGAAAACGTCAGGACAACAGTCTAGTGTTAATTTAGGTGCATTGCAAAAGATGTCTGAAAGTGAAACTATGACTTGTAAAGTGGCTCATGATGATCAGAAAGGTAAATAAAAATAATTTTTCTTCTCGGTGCATTAGAGATGCCTAATTATACAAATATGTGCACTTGGTTAAATTTTAAAATGAAATCAAGAGAAATGTATGCCACATTGAAATTGAATATAGTTAATAATCATGTCTAAAAATTAACTAATGTTAATAATATAGAAATATCAGAAGTTTAATATATATGCAAAATAATTATAATACTTAAATTTCTTCTTAGATATATATGTTTATTACATCTGTTACAATATTCAATAATATTATGTTTTCATGCCTTTTTTTTTACTTTAAAATACAACTCGGGGATATTATGAAATTATTGTAACCAGGTGTTGAACTCAGTACACTTGACATAATGTTCCCAGCCCAATGCTCCTTATTCAGGCTTCTTGCCAATAACTTTTCATTCAGATCATTAAAGTATATCCCTCTCCCACTCAAAAGTTCATTTTTAAGTTTATAACACAACTTGGCAGTTTCAGGCATACATTTCCTAAACTTTAATAATTAACTTTCACTTATGCTAGACCAATTGCTGAGCCAAGAATGGACACAAACATGATTTGAATAAACTGCAGTCCTTGAAATTAAGATGTCATTGCCTTCGTAAGTGCATTAATCAGGGAACAATTATTGCAAATGTCATGTTCCATTGTGAAGTTATATTTTTGCACTAAAAGACACACTTAATACCTGAGTGAGGTACCAGACAAGTACCCTCACCATGATAGAAAATGAAAAACTTACATAAGGTTTTAATATTTATTAAATAGTTTTGGGGAAATAAAAAAATTATGGGTAGCTTTCCAGGTTGAACCTCAGGCATCATCAGCTTTGACATGAACTTCAATTTCCATAAGAAGTCAAAATTAAAATGAAACTTGTTGTTTAATGTCAGTAAAATACAGTGAAATAATCCTGGCAACTTTGTTTTCAAAGTTGATATTCCTTATTTGTCAAATGATGTAAAACATTATTATTTTTTTCTTGCTCTCTTTGAAGTAGTACATGAAATATATCAAACTATTGTAAATTTAAATAAACTTCACTGTCTCCTCTGATACTGAAACATGCAATAATTCAAAAATGCAACTTACTCATACTGTAGGTTGTGTAATTGAATACTTGTTAGTTCTGGTTTTGAATTATTTTTTGATTAAAACACATTGCATTAATTAAACTAATAAAGTGTATTAGTAATATTTTTAAATTAAAAATTTAATAATTTTGATTGTGAGGTAACTGTATCATTAAATATTCTATATATTTATCAGCAGTTTTATTTTTGTGTGAAATCTTCATCTTTGATTTTTGTCACCGGAAACATTACAAGTTTTTCTTATAATGCCTTTTTTTTCCCCTTCATACTTAACATTTTTCATAAAATGCCATGGCTTTTCCAATAGCTTTGCCCTATGCTATTTCTAATTTTAAAGACTGAACTATGTAACTCAGATGGCCTTCTTGGTGGAGATGCCTGCTAATTGGACATAACTCAGATGGTCTTCTTGGGGGAGATGTCTGCTAGTTGGACATAACTCAGATGGCCTTCTAGGGGGAGATGTTTGCTAGTTGGACATACCTCAGATGGCCTTCTAGGGGGAGATGTTTACTAGTTGGACATACCTCAGATGGCCTTCTAGGGGGAGATGTTTACTAGTTGGACATAACTCAGATGGCCTTCTAGGGGAGATGTCTGCTAGTTGGACATAACTCAGATGGCTTTCTAGGGGGAGATGTCTGCTAGTTGGACATAACTCAGATGGCCTTCTCGGGTGAGATATCTGCTAGTTGGACAGCAGTATAATGGATTAGGATATTCAGTTCTTCATGTTTGATGGGTACCATCACACTGATGCTTGAAAGCACCGGTAAAATGTTAAAGCCTCCTACAAAGTCTGTCATGATGCCTTCAGTTTTGGGACCATCACTGGTCCTTTTATTCTTATTAAGAAATAAGTAATTTTGAATTCAAATTCTGTTATTATTTATCATGGCTTTGGTCATGGAATCAGATGTTGTTTGTGTACAAATTAATTTTTATTGGCCAGTTTTGTAAACAAAGAATTGAGTTACGGTATCAGCCTACTAATAGCCCTGGCGCATTTTTCAAATGTGAAGGACTGTATGTTGAAAAAATGTTTTTATCAGTTTATTAATTTCCTATATTTTTACAACACAACTGAAAACTTACAGGTAACTCGTATTGTAATCATAAGTCTAGGTTACCAGTTGTAACAACGTGAAAAGGATTAAAAGTAGTCTATCATGACAGAATCTAAGACCTCTGATTCATACAATATTAAAAAGCTCTAGTTGGTTACTGTCTTGAAAAGCAAATACAAAATGAGCTTAAGTGCCAAGGACTTGCAAAGCACTTTGGGTGTGGAACTTTGGAAAATATATATATTTCTTGTGTGAAAGAATGTTAAGAAAAAATAGAAAGGTTTAAATATGATTGTTAACAAAATTCATTGTGGGTTTTTAATATGGTGAAAATTCACTTGTTAGTAAATTTCACATATTCCCCTGTGTAATTGTACCACTTCAGTTCCCCTGTGTAATTATACTACTTCAGTTTAGAATATATAATGATTAAGATTTTAAAAATCTGATAGATGTTCATACATGTGTTTTGAGAAATTTAAACTTAATTTGATTTTACGTTTTATAATGACTTGAAATACATCTTAATATAATTTTTTTGTTTCTGTGTTAAGGTGCAAGAGGAAGTACACTTGAAAAAGAAGTAGAACTTATGAAGCAACTGGAGAAAAGTTTTAGTATTCTTGAAAATTCTGTAGAAGATGCAGAGCCTCTTAAGAAGCGTGCATGCATAGAGTTGGAAACAGAGATGGAAAAATGGAAAACTGCATATGAAGTATGTTCAGAAGTTTTTGTTTTTATAATAATGATTTTAAATTTCCTTAACCACTGTACCAAGTTTTGCATGTATCGTATGTTAAAACACTCGTATGCTATTTCTTTGATAGTTGTATGAAAATACAATGCTTTACATTAAAGCGAAAATGAAGAAGTACTCTTAATCATATAATAATAATAGAAATATTATTTGTTTATTTTAATCTATGGATATAGTGTTTCCCACAAATAACTATGCAAAAAGTTTGTACATCTTATTTTCAGTGAGATCTTGATCTTTCATTTATGGCCTTTAGTATGAAAAGTTTTAAAATCTACATTTAGATTCTTAATTTAAATGGTGTCTTGTATGGTCATGCCAGTTGTCATGTAGATCTATGATTGCAGTCATGAGAGCCTCAGTTTGAAAATTTGCAGAACCTGAAATTAGATTATTGTTTTAAATTACTTGTATCTTATTAGTAATAATTTTTGAGTGAACTATTTTACGCCAACTTGAGAAATTCCAAAGCTCAGTCTACATTTTTGAGAGCCCTTCAATGCTCTGAAATACATCAGTGGGCTCATTCTGCTTACATTTAGGGGTTTCCATATCCATGGTGAGTGTGGCACAGGTGCTACATTGTGTTGCTTTGCACTTGACACCAACCAATTCTACATTAACCTTTTCACCACTGCCTCAGTTCAATTGGAGTGCACTTCTGGGTCCCTTTCTTTTTTAAGTCTCTGAGATGTTGACTGATCTTTAGGCCTGCCATCATTCTCTGTCTTGCCTCTCTGGTCTTTTTAACATGATCCATTAAGACTTCTCCTCTGTTGTTTTGTCCATCAACTGACATGGATACACTTGCTCTTAGAATCTCTGTTTCATTGACATTCGATTTTCTCTTTTGGGTCCATGACCACCATGTTCTGTTGTCAGTCTATCGTGTCTCAGAAGCTCAGGCCCTGGTGTAGATTGATTATCTTGCCTGAGCTTAGACCCTTCCCACAAAGTGGTCTTTTTATCCTCTGGTATATTCAGGGTATTTGTTCCCACTATTAGATTCCTATTATCAATGCCTTTCTGACTCCTCTGCATTCCTTTGTCCTCAAATCCTGCTCTAAAGCTCCAACAGAGGAAACTCTGTGTCTGGAGTGGTTCAACCACTTTTTTTATGCTTCAAACATATGTCTTCCCCATCTAACTTTCAGGAGCTGTTGCTCTCATTTTTTTCTTGACCACTTCCCACATTATTTAATATAGGAATAAGTGGAACTTTTTCCCGACTGCTCCTGATTGAATGTTTTCTCCATTCCTCCTCCTTTTTTTTTCTTCCCTGTATGATCATTCTTACCCAGATCATGACAATTTTTCTGTAAGGTCTGTTTGTTATTTCACTTGTACTGCCTATCTTTAGGGCACTTGCCAATGTCTTGCAGTGGGAATCTCTTCCTTCAGTATCTTATCAATTTTTACTTTGTCTGGTTGATTATACAACCCATTCAGATGGTATATTCTTCTATGGGTTACAATCTTTTTCTTATTTTTAATATCTTCTCCCATCATGTTTGTCATCTCACGGCTTCTCTTTCTTCTTGAAGTCATTCCTTGTATGTGATCTTATAGTTGGGTGATGTGGATGACCACACTTTAGCACCAGTAAAAGATTCTTATGACACTTTCTTTTGCTCTACCACCTCTCCTAACAACTAATACTACAATAACATTGGGCAAAGAGTATTCCTTGTTTGAGGTGGATGTGGTCTCCCACTGAGTTCTGCCCCACTAGGTTGCCTCTGCCTCATGGGTACCATATTCCAAAAAGGAACTCATCTATGTAATTTTTTTTCTACATGGGACTTTCCACCATTCATATTGTTGTATTCTAGCTCTTTTCTTGTGCAAAGAGGTGAGTAATGTTTTCAAGTTAACATTTTACTTTCCTGAAAAATTATTTCATATAGATGCTTACCTCTATGCCACCATTCATTCCCATGTGTATTTACATTGCTTTATTAAGAACGTGCATTTGTTAAAATGCTTGTGCTCTTAGCAGATATGTTGCCTTCCTATTGGTGGAGGACTGTAGTCGTATGATAATTACATCATAGGCAGGTGTAATATACATTGACTCGTGTAGAACTTGTGGCATGCACAGAAATTTATACGGCAATGTGTACAATGTAATAGCTCTTTGTTGTGCAAAGAGGTGAGATTTACAAGTAATGTTTATACACTTTTAGTTATGAGAAGTTTTTTAAATTTTGTTTAAGATAATAAAACGTTGTTGACCACTGTTATACTGGGAATAGTTTAAGTAGTAGATCTTAAAACAAAAGTACTATACATTATTGTTTACATTACATTCAACACAACAAAATTCAAGCCTGAAAGATACATGTATTTTCAAAACTTTTATACTGACAAATTTTATGTTATTGTATTAAAATCTTGCATTTGATCATTAAAATCTGTTATCTTAATAAATCTATGGTTCTTATTTCATCATGTTTGAATAACACATGTACATTTGCCTAATCTAGAAATTCTTCTGTTGTATAATATAACTAACCAACCACTTTTATCTCCTAAACCTGACTGTCAGTAATCTAGATAGCTTAAATTGTACAAGTTTTCATACTAGAAAACAAAGAAAAATCTGTAGAATGATTAACCACTCATCAGTTCAAACTGTTATTAGAGCTGTGCAATTAACTCAGTTAATAGGTATAACTAATTACATATGAGCAATATTTATTAGTGTTACATAAAAATCAGTTAATAAAAACTATGTTTCGTTTGATTAATGTCACGAGGATAAACAACTAATCAAAATTAGTGTTTTGGAGATTTACCATTTTCAATTATTTCATCTATCCAAGTCTCATGTGAGAATAATTGATTAGTTGAATATAATCAGTTAATGAGCCTGATGATTGATTATCAAATTCCACTAATTGCCCAGCTCTGACTGTTATGCTTACTACACCTAACCCACAGCTAACTTCACTTGTCTGTTTTGTATTACATATACCTCCTAACTGTCATTTTAAAACTAATGGAATTACATGCACTGTTCTAACATAAGTATTCATAGCTCTAAGTAATATTTTTATTGTTGGAAACTGATGTAGGATTAATCATATGAAAAGCAGTAACAGGATATAACTTGTGTTTGCTTAATTCATTTTCAGGATCACATTTTTATAGCTTTCATTATCACAATAAAATGCATAATTATTTTTGTCCCTTTTATATAAAATAAAGAATAGATTAAGTGATCTGATTTTATAGAGAATGTAATTATCATATAGTATCTTTTAGCCTATAACAACAGCTGGTAAGTGTGCTTTTCAAGGGTTGAGTATTAGCATTCCTTTGTTTTATTCATGTTAATAGTATGTTTTTGATACATTATTATATATATGTCTGGCGTATATACTCTACTGTATTAGTTAATTATTGTCATATGCACGTTTAATTTTTTAAACAGTCATTAAATAAGTTAAACGTATAAAATTATTTAAAAAGTTAATAACCTCTTTTTTTAAGAGAGAGGCTGAAAAGTTTGTAAAGTTGAAGGCAACTGTGCGAAGACTTGCAGAAAAACAGACAAAAGCCGAGTCGGAACTTAATCATCTAAAAGAACAATTTACAACAGAACGTGAAGAACACGAGAAACAGCTACTGTCATCTCAAAGGCTTTGTAAACAGCTTGAAGCTGATATAAATGAGGTATGCTTTTACATGTTTTCTAGAAATGATTCTAAATATTATAAAATTCAACTTGTCAGGACATATTTGTGACGTGATTTATAATTTTGTGATTGAGGAAGCTTATCATATCAGTTTGTGTCATTCTATTATCAGAAGCGAAATAAAATATATTAGAAATTGGTTTAATAAATGTATCATAATAATAAACTGGATTTTCTTTATTGAATTTAAATCATACATTTATTTGTCTTAACTTGTACCTAAATAAGAAAAAAACTTGATGCTTTCAGTATTATGTCAGTAAGAGTAATCTGCAAAAGAGCAGTTTGCTGTTTTTCCTGATTTCCAACTTATAAATGGTGTTGTTACTTGTATGTGCATAATGAACTTGATATTTCCATTTTACTTTGCATGTATGTTTGTATTTAACACTTTCAGCTTGAGTGAAAGTATAGTCTTATATGTTTCCTCCACTTTATCCCTAAATTCTCAAACAAAACTGCATTTGTAATTCAGATAAATGTATAAATACTTTTAATCCTATATATTTTTTTTAAGTATATGTTTTTGTCAAATTTACCGAGTTGTAGTTGGACATTTCACTTGGATACTTGCGTGTTTCTAACGTATTAATTTAACTGTACGTCACACACATTAGGATAACTTACCCAACTGTATGTAGTCCAACGATACTTCTTTACTCGTAACATTACTTTCTTCTGGCTGTGGTAATATATAGAGGCACAGTTATATTTTTCTGTAGAAATTTGATTATAACTATTTTAATAATATATATAATATGACTGAAATCAGACTTCAATTTTGTAATGATTTTGAATGATAATTTATGAACGAAAACTCAGCTTCATTTGGACTGGAGGATTATCACTGATATCCCTTGATTTTTTTCTTTTAACAGCGGTAATCTTACCTAAATTGTATGAAACTTCAGACAAACTAACCAAATAGTAATTAGTTTTGGCTTTGAAAAATTTATGTAGTTTTATTCAATAATCCTATCATTTTTTAGGTTAGAAAATTTCCAAAATTTTGTTGTGAGGCACTGTTTTGAGAAAAACATTAAAAATACTTATTTTCTTCATAGAATGTATTTATTTTTTCATAGATAAAATGGTTCCATCTTATATATATATATCTAGTCAGTTTCAACTATATTTTTGGGATTACTTTTATTTTGCTTCTAACCAGAAGTTGCAAAAAACAACAACTGTAAAGACTAACAAAGTTTTATTAATGACCCTGGACCTCACCATATAAAATGGTATTACCATTACATTGTTCTTTGCTAGGCTTTTTTATGCTAACAATACTTCTAGATCCCTCATAAAGTTCCTACCCCCAGCACTTCACTTTTAAAACAAAAATTGTATAGTGAGTTTCAAGTCCTTTTAGTTTATTTTATTTATCAATCATAAATCCAGTATTTCATTCCTAAACTGCAAAGAGGTTTGTGTTGATTTTCTGGTTTTGTAGAGTCTAATTAGAGAATACACTTCCAAGACCAGTTGAGTTGTATAGGGGTGTTTTCAGACCCATTATGGGAGAGAACAAGAAATTATTTAATCAGACCTCAAGTAATGAAACTAGGTTAAAAATGACTACTTTCTTTTTTTTGTAATTTATTTATTTGTG